CTAAAAAAAACTGAGATGCTGCATTTTTCAGTAAATTAAAGAGTGTGATATCATATAGGCCTGTACTGGCTTTATATATCAGTCATCGGCCATCTTGCTCTCTAAGATATATCTATCAGCCATCAAACAATCCAAATTGGCCAACCTCTACTCACCTTCATGTTGTCTGAAATCGTTATTCTGAAAGCGTCACACATACACATCAAAACATGTAAATAACAGAATTTCCATTCAAACAGTTCCTTTAAGAAGTGGCTCTGTTTGTACATTTATGTGTGGTAATGTGATACATGGCCAATATGTTTCTAGAACCTGCTTTCTCTCCTGAGCAGCAGAATGTTGAGCACTTCCTGTCTTTGTCTGCCCCCATTGTTGGTACTTGCTGGGCTTGTTTTGATCAGACAGACTTGTCCTCCTACCTCACACATTTCTAACCACACTTGTCTCTTTGTTCATTATATCTCAGTCTCTCTTCCCCCTCTGTTTGTCATCCTTTTCCCAGTATCCAATGCCTGTTTCTCTTTCTCTTTTCTCTCCTATCTTGCAGTTTTAAAAAGCAGGTTTATTTATACACTGTAAATGTATTTAATGTCATCTCTCTCTTTCTTTCTTATGCACAGTGAGTCAAGTATCTGTCAGGCACGAGCCACTGTGATGATCTACAATGATGCCGATAAGAAGTGGGTCCCGGCAGGCATGGGTGCCCAAGCTTTCAGCAGGGTTCAAATCTACCACAACCCCAGCAATAACGCCTTCAGAGTGGTGGGACGAAAGATTCAGACCGACCAGCAGGTAAACAAACTACAGTCAGCCAGCATGGGGGTTGCAGACAAACAAACCATTTTACTTTGAAGGTAACACTGCAGAGGGCTGACACATCCAGGGTAACTGGAAAAAAGGTCTTTCCAAACGTTGCCTCAAGCATACACTTTAAAATAGTCTTTCATAATGTATTTTTTCACTTGCTAAAGACCAGCAGCACATACTACAGTCTAATACTGTGTTTATCTTAATAATGGCAAAGGGATAGTTCACCCAAAAATTTAAATAATTCATTTACTGACCCTCGTGTCATTCCAGACCCACATTATTGTTTTCCCTCAAGATTACAAAAAGAGAAATTTAGCAGAACAGCTACACCGCTTTTCCCATATTACAAAAGTGAGTGCATACTGGGATGTCAAGGCATCAAAGACGAAAAAAAAAAAGATAAATGTACAAACAAAGGTGGTCCATAACAGAATTGATATGCATATACAAGTGACCCCATCAAAACCCTTGAACTGATATAATTCCACCAGAAGTGCATTTAATTAATTACAACTCCCATCCATGATTTTTTGTTTTTCTTTACCTGTCATTCAAGTCACTGAGCAGAAATTTAAAAAGTAATAAACTTTTTTTAGAAATAAGAAAGTAGTGATTATGCCATTAAAAGGCAACACAGTGCAACAAAGTAATTTTTTTTGAAAGAAATTAAAACTTTTATTCAGCAAGGATACATTAATTTGATAAAAAGTGTTATTGTAATGTTACAAAAGATTTGTATTTCAAATATAAATAAAAACATTTCATGAAAAAAGCAGCACAAGTGTTTTCAACATTTAAAATAATTTATTTTATATGTATGATAAGAAGAAATTATTATGTAACATTTATAATGCAGACATGTTCACAAGTCCCTAAGGTCCAAGTCAAGTCTCAAGTCTCTTTGTATCTATTTTTAGCAATAGCCAAACAATTAGAATATAACAATAATAATTCAAATTTAATTTCATAATTTCAAAAACGCTTTAGAAAACTGATACGGGCCGAATAGCAAAACAAACTTGTAGCCAATCAGCAGTAAGGGGCGTGTCTACTCATGATGTGGAGTAGAGCGAGTTCAGTGCACATGACGGACATTAGTGAGCCGAGCAACAGAAAGATAGAGATGGCGGATAAAAAACAAAAGAGGAAAACGTCTGCGGAACAAAAGAAGGTTTACGGCAATAAGGCAAGAAGTAGAACCAGAGTAAATATCGGATCAGCTTTCCAGCGCTGGAGAGAACTCAAGGAGCGGAAGGCCTGCGATCGGACGCCGAGGTTGCTTTGTTTCTTCTCGATAGGTGAGTAACACCGTGTCTGCGCCGCAACAGCTAAAGTCTGTCTAGTACACTGGACGCGACAAAGCGACCGTTGAAAATCATTAGAAATTTGTGTCAATACGTCATAAATAGAAAGCAGCAGC